ACCGTGCCAGCCGCTCTTTCAGCTCCAGTTCAGATGGAGCTAGTGAGTCCTCATCTTCATCTTCATCCTCATCCTCCCGATCCCGGTCACGGTCGTTCTCCCCACCACCTAAGCGGTGGCGAAGGTAAGCGGTGGAGTGTCTGTCTGCTTACTCTTTGGGCAATTGTCTGGTGGCTGGTCTTTTGCGAGGGTGCCCAAACACCTCTTTATGGACCTACTTGATGTCTATATTTGATCTTTTTGCCCTTGTGGCCCTTCTGAAGGGGGTGCCTGGCTCATAGAGACGAGGGAGCTGCTGCGACACTCTGCCAGTGGGTGTCTGGCTGAACCCCATGTCTGAGCAGGTGTGCCTGCAAAGCCACCACTGAGCCTGGCTTCCTTACTTCTGGAACACCATGGTACGAGTCCTTGGCTGCACCTTGCCTTTTGGATGCTTTTTCTGGGGTATTATTGCAGGTGTTGGTGTTTGTGCTGTGGGGCTGGTGCAGCCATAGGTGTAGAAATGAGAGGAGCCATAATGGAGCCCTCCAGGGAGCTACTGGAGGCAAGTAGAGAAAAACTTGTCTGGCTTGGCTGGCTCAGGGGCTCCCTGTGCTCCTTATGGAGCTGGCTGCGTAGGAAAGTGGGGCGGCTTGATCTCTGCGGGATGCGTTTCTTTTGGAGTGTTTGTGCATCTGAGTGATGCACAGCCTGTCCCAGCTGGGGTGGGAGGCACTGGAGCTGGTGAGGGATCGCTCATCCATCCTTCCCTGGATGTTCAGCCAGTTCTGAAGATATCCCAGGTCACTGGGCATGAAGGGCTTGTCCAGCCACGGCCCCTCTATCGGTGCCCAATAGGTGTGGAGGCTGGAGCAGGAAAGGGCATGTATACAGTGCCGTGTCCCAGGGGTGTGAAGCTCAGTGACTTGCCCTGTCTGGCTTGGCTTCCCAGGAAATGCAGCTGGTCCTGTGCTGGGCAATGTCCCCATGTACTGTGCCATCCTGACCTGCTGTCCTCCAGGAGAATATGTGGGAGTACCAGGCAGCATGCTGCGCTTGAGGCCTGGGTTTGCCTATGGTGGGGACCACTCGTGGGCAGCATGTTTAGAGAGGGAGACTGGAGACAGCACAGCTTGATCCCAGAGGGGTTTCAGTCCTGCTGCCCTTAAGCTTTGCCTGGCCCTGCCAGAGAAGCTCTTGTGGGTGGGAGACTGTGGGCACAGAAGCCCAGCCCTGTCCCAGTGCATGCCATGGCCTTCGGTGTGGTTGGAGGCACATGTGGTCTCCATACGTGTGGCTGTTGAGAGCAACGTGGATGTGATGGTTCCAGTGTCATCCTGTGCGCCCTGTGGGGCTCAGCACGGCAGCCCCAGCCCCTCCTGGGCCCTTGCCTGGTCGCAACCACGTGCTGCACGGTTTCCTTGTGACTATTTCTTGCTCTTCAAAGGCTGTGCCTGTTGTGAGCCTGCTCCCTTTTTGCTGTGGTGTTTGGAGTCAAGTGGAGCAACATCTCTGTGGTGTCATTACTGCCCTGGCAAACTTGGGCAGACGTTTCCCTAGCCCAGCTTACCCTGGAGATGGGTCCTGTTCAAGTGGGGTGCTGGGTACCGTGGGGAGGATGGAGATCTTTTTTCTTCTCTGGAGCCTCGTGGTGCTGAGCGTTGGGAGGGCTTGGCACTGAGTGCTCTCTCCTTCCCCCAGGTACAGCTCAAGATGTTCCCACAGCTCCTCTTCCCGCTCCAGCTGTGGGTCATGTGGCAGGTCCCGGGACAGGTCCTCATCCTCATCATCAACGTCCTCCTACTCATCCAGGTCCACGTCCCGCAGCCAGTCCTGCTCCCGCTCCCCCTCGCCCCGCAGGAGGAGTAACAGGCGGAGAAGGTGAGTGTGGCCACTCTGGAGGGGTGTGAGCTCCCTGCAACCCTCCTCCTGGCCTCCTGTGTCCCGGACAGGGGTGGACCCACTCCTTCAGTATCTCCCTTATGCCCGGGATCACTCTCTTCTGGCACCCCCATGACCCTGTAGCTCATGTGTCCGGTTTCTGCCCTGCCAGATACAGTTACGACGCCCAGGACCACTACCAAAGGCAGAGGATCCTCCAGAAGGAACGTGCAATAGTGAGTGCTGCAGGGCTAGGAAACTGGGGCTGGAGATTTGGGGGTCCCCAGCCCTTCCATCGCTTCAGAAAGCCGTGGGGTCGCAGCCTTGCAGGCAGCATTGATGGGTGGTGATGGAGGGAGGGTGCTCTATGCGAGAGGTCCTGCTCACCGGGATGGCTCGGAGACACTGAGTTCTCCCATTCCCATCTCACGGGACGGTGCATCCCTGCCCGCAGGAGGAGCGGCGAGTTGTGTTTATTGGCAAGATCCCCGGCAGGATGACACGGTCAGAGCTGCGACACCGCTTCTCTGTGTTCGGCGACATTGAGGAGTGCACCCTGCACTTCCGCTCCGAGGGGTAAGAGCTGCAAGGGACATGGGGCAGCCCCTTCCCAGGGATGGCTCCTCTTGGCCCTTTTCCCATTCCTCAAGGGGATGGTGCAGACCAAGGGGGGACAAACATCCTGTGTTGCTGCTGATCTCCTTCTTCTTTGGCTCCAGGGACAACTATGGCTTTGTCACCTACCGCTATGCCGAGGAAGCCTTTGCTGCCATCGAGAGTGGGCACAAGCTGCGGCGCCCAGACGAGCAGCCCTTTGACCTGTGCTTTGGTGGCCGCCGGCAGTTCTGCAGGAGGAACTATGCTGACTTGGGTGAGTCACGCAGCCCCCAGTTTGGGGGGTTGGCACTCTGGGTCCTCTCTCCTTCCCAGAGGTGTAGGGGTCCCCATCCTTGGGGTCAGTCAGGCTTGGCTGGGCAGGGCCACATTCAGGGATAGTCCTGCCCCGAGGGGAGATTGGACAAGGGCTCCCCGTCCCTCCAGCGCTGCGATGGAGGCCAGGCTGGTTCCTCCATCAGCCCAGCTCTGGGTCTAGAGGTTGGCATGTGAAGCGAGATGGGAAGGAGTTGCTGTGGGGATGGCCGGAACTGTGCCAGTGTCCCCATGTCTCAAGGCAGCCTCTCCCCATGTCTTTCAGACTCAAACCGGGAAGATTTCGCCCCGGCCCCCGTCAAGAGCAAGTTTGACTCCCTGGACTTCGACACGCTGCTGCGGCAGGCACAGCGCAGCCTGCGGAGGTAGCGGCAGGCAAGGCGGAATGCCCGCCCCCGCTTTTATACACAAATACAAAAGACAAAAAAAGTATGGAGAGAGAGAGAGAGACAGAAGGGGTTTTTAAGAAAAAGAAAAAGGAAAAAAAGAAATTTGTTTTATAACCAATATTTAAGGAGGACGGGTCATATGCCTTTGACCGGAGGGGCCCTGACGAGTGGCCGGGCGCAGGCAAGTGGCAGCCCTAGGCTTGCCTCAGCCATGTAATAAATGTGGAT